CACTTGGACAGAGAACAAAGCTGACACTCGAGTAGAATACCTGATGTGGCATCGCTCCATAATGTGGTCTAATTGAGGACGTTATAGAAGATTCTATGGAAAATCTTATACGCGGCTTATTGACGGAGTTGTGAGTAATATTAAATATTATATTACGTTACCATATAATGTTAGTGAAATCTTCATTTTTTGAAAGAAATACGGTCTTAATTTTAAAATACAGCAGATAAAAAATGTAACGAAAATTATTCCTAATAACCGTTGAAATTTTCCAAATATTTTTGAATAAATATGAGGAATAAATTCAATATTACTGAAATAATTCTTTCTCCGAGTGAAAAACAAATCGAAAGTGAGATCGATGAAAGCTAAGGAATCTAAAGCAAAGATCGTTGCTACGTCGCATTAATTGGAAGACTGAAGACCTCGTGATTGCTGCGACAACCTGATGCTCAAGATTGCTGCAAACTGATCTGCTGCTTGTAACTGACGCGACTAATTACAAACCAGAGCAGCGATTGGATTAGGTATTTGTTCGATGATACCTCACACAATAATTAAATGCAGGGCTTCTTGCCAGAATGTCGGTGTCGATGCCGGAATTGTGTGAAGAAAATCGCAATTTGATGAAATAGGACTGCGTTGACAGTACAAAAGTAAATGGTTTGGAGAGTGATGATAAAGGGCTCATATATGGTGAACAAATTTTGTATAATTCCAAATAATTGTTTACAGGTATCGGTTACGAAAAAGGAATGATAATAATACCGTAGAATACGGATCGAAAGGACAGTTTTTTCAATTATTTTTAACACGATGCTCGAATCATTGGAATACAATAGAGAAAATATTTATAGTATTATTATTTGATTATTACGGGTTGCGCTGAACCTCCATAAATTTTAGGATTTGAGAATTCACCATATGAACGGCAAGCGCTCAATAACTTTGGCGTAGTACACTTTTCTTTATTTCCTAATTTTAAGCCCACGAAAAAATTTCTGAATAAAAATGTTGTCGCGAAAAAAAAACAATGAATTATTAGGCTTTTCATGCATAAAAAATTTCAAACAGCAACATCCCACTGATTCCGTAGGAATTTCGCTTAGAAGATTACCAATTTTAAATGCCGGTAGAGTTTCCTTCACCGCATATGAAAACAGGAATCAATTGTGCGACTTGCGGCTCCATCGACCACAACAATGGCCTGCTCATGCGGCCAGATATTGTGTATTTTTTCTGATAGGCAACAGGTCTTCTCCGGTAACTTTTCCCCCTAACCAATAACGTTACAATGCAGTGCATTATTACATGAGTAACTCTACACCGCGAAGGTAAAGTGGATCGGCCACTTGATGTCGATACAAAGTTTTACCTGTCTTACGGACCATTGTACGAGTTCAGATGTTACTCTAAGGCATCTTTGTGCTACATTCTATCAACCGTTGTTGCTGCATTGTCAGCCGCTGTGTAGCCTCGCTATTAACATGCATTGATTGAACGTACCTTTAAAGAAGATGCCTTTTTAAACGAATACCGCTTTGTATTCCTTAATGCTAGCTGGTCATAGGGAAAAAATTCAGTCGGACTTTAAACGTGATGGCATTTATTTGAATTTAGCTAGAATCTTTAATGAAAAAGGATTTACAAAATTATGAATTGTAAAATAGAGGAAAAAGATAAGGGTGCTAATAGAAAACAGGTTATAATTCAAAATTACTCGAAGAAAGCTCATGGGCGGTCGTGAACTTCGTTATTTTTTCATTTATTATAAATGATTTAATTTTAATTGAAGAACAGTTTAAAAACAATAATGCGAGCGCTTAGAACATTCAAGTATTCAACAAATAAAATGAACAAAATTCAACCGATCCTGATGAAAAAAAGTATTCCGCTTGGTTGATGACATGTCATTGCACATTTATTGTATAGTATATATGTTGAATATTTAATACTTTCAGCTAAGTTTGAAATAAAAATGTTTGATCCGGCCGCAATTAGCTTTAAGGGCGAAAGACGGATAATAACCATCGGTAATTATAAATAAATACGAATAAAAATGATAATGAGTATTATGATATATCCATTATAAAAACCCATGAACATCAATTGAAGCTCTTTTGTTAATGGTTAATTTTTCTGTTCGTATAAACCTCAATAAATATCATGTATAATTCATATGACCTTTTTTCTATGAACTTAAATATTATCACGTACTCTTAAGTAGCTTATCTTAACAAAAATGAGCAGAGTTCAAACTCAACTACTGCAAACATCCAGTGGCTGCAAATCCAGTATCTCAACAGTAAATAAATAAAGCATTTTTCGCTCTTCCAGGAGTAATTCGATAATAAGTTTAAAGCTCTGACTCTTTCACAAGCGCCGTGGCGAGCTGCGTTGTGGCATCCTTTGTGGGAAACTGAAATCAATGGAGTGGAAAAGTGCGCTGTGTCTTCCAGGAGCCTTCCTTTACGACCTATACGCTCCCCTGCCCAGTTTTGTGGCCACACTTTTATTCTCGATCAAAAAATCGAGTTTCATACACGTTTTTCATTCCAGGAAATTCAGGTTCGAAATAATTTTTAAAACAAATTTTTAATTTCAGGAGATTTAGCTTCGAAATAATTTCAACTCTTAACAATATATTTTGAAGGTGATATTGAATAAAATAACTTTTACTGTCAGCAAGAGATTCTTAGAGAAGAAATTAAAATGATACAGCAAAAATAAAAATAAATCAACTTATAGCATCGGAATTGATTTCCAAAGAGAAGATTAGAATAAAGTATCTTTGAATTTTAGCAAAGGGTTAAAAAATATTAAAAAGTAAGTACTTCATGCAACTCTCATCAGGCGACTTTCAAAGTTGGTTTTAAAATTAAATAATTTCATTTTTTGGGATAGATTCTTAAAGAAAATATAATAACGTAAAAACTTTTTCTATCAATCTTTCCCTCTCTCACACTAATTGACTTTGAAATAAATGGAAAATTCACTGAATTCTTTGGTGATGAAATACATTTGAAATGTCTCAGGGATTTTATGTGGTTACTAAAAAAACTAATAGTTTCATAATTAATTAGAACTATCGGTGGACTTCTAATAGCCCACGGTCGGCCATCCTCGAGATTTTTTGTAGCGGCAAAAGCCGGAGTCGCGTGCCTCGGGAGTGCGGATGATGCGAGGCGCTTTATAGCCTCGTTAATTGCAGACACAAACGCTAAAAACTGAATCGGAGTCTCTTACCAGACGCGCGGTGTTTTCTTAGCGGCTTCTTTATCGCGATCTCTGCGCGCTGACGTCGCGAATTTAACGGTTAGTCAGCGGCGCAGCGAGGGTCGAGAAGTCGCGAAATTCTTTCTCTCAGTCTTAATGTGGAGTCTTATTTAAGTGAGAATTACGTTAGTCTTAAGTCTTACTTAAGTGAGAATTAAGTTAGTCTTAACTCTTATTTGAGTGAGATTTAAGTTAGTCTTAAGTCTTATTTTTAGTACTTAAGTGAGAATTAACTTAATCTTAAGTCTTACTTGAGTGAGGATTAGGTTAGTCTTAAGTCTTACACTTACTTGAGTGAGAATTAAGTTAGTCTCAAGTATTACTAAGAATTTAGTATTCTTGATCTTGTAGTGATGTTTATATATCAATGAATAGCAATATATATCATGCATGGTGATAATTATCAACCAAACTGTGGCTTCGAAGTTATCTAATAAAAATATGTGTTTTTATTTTTCTAGTTGAAATTTTTGTCCTCACTTTACGCTTTTATGTGCTTGGAAATTATTTATGTCTTTCGAAACATTGCCTTGCAAAAATTAATACACTAAAGGTTAACAAAGTTAGATTTAGCTCATGAAATTCGGCTAGAAGATGAAATGTGAAAATATTTATGTAAAATTTGTAAAACATCTGAAAATTGTCAAAGCTCCGTGCCCTATAGAGTATTAAAAAAAATAATTATTTATCATCAAGTAACTTTTTTGCATGGATACCACAAAAAATTTCAATCATTAATTATTAAATGGTCCGAGTAGAAATCCCTTGGACAATTCCAATAAAATTTATCTCACTTCAGTTTATTAGCGCAAAATTGATTTCTGTTTCTACATGCAACGATATATCGTCTTTTTACTAGCCGATACCGATAAGGCATCTTTGGCCACCGATAACAAGACCCAGATTTTCATGGAGGTTTATGGTGTGCAAGAATGATGGTGAGAACGTGATACCATCACGCTCACAGTTATGACTTACGCCTCACGTCGCGTCAAAACGAGGCGCTATTTGCGGACATTCCTGTTATCAGAGACTTTTGGACGCCGCTACTGCAGGAATCTTGCATATTCCTTCTCGTATATAATCCTATTTAGTAAAGCAGGCTAATTTTTAATGGTCTGTGCTTTATCAGGGGTCGGCAATCGTCCAAAAAATGAAGACAGTGGAAGATAGCTTTCAATAGATTTAAAATTTGTAAGTTTGCTTGTGAAGTAAAATGGGAGTGAAATGAAATTCCTATCTAGTTATATATAAAAATAAACGAGGTAAATGGGAGTAAAGCATAATTAATACCAGTAAAATATTGTTTAGCATATTCCTAAACGAACTAAGGGACATATTTCATTTTCCATCTATAGGGAGGAACTAAGGAACATATTTTGAGAAAAAAAAAACAATTTGTGAGTTGTAGGTTTACTTTATTAGTGAGCTCGATCACTTTTGTTAGAATTTCCAAGGAGGTTGCTGTTCTCCATCACGTTTTCGCGAAGGCTCAATGTGCACAAAAATTTTAAGATGTCAGTTGCATGTAAGAATAAACAAATTGAAAGCTCACTGAAATATATAATGCATTTGTATTGTTATACAAGGCAATATTTCATAAACAAATTTTGTTTTTTAAGCAAGAAAAAATCAAGAATATCAATTACCAATACCCGAAAAGATCAAGTTTAGTCATGATCATTTTTCATAATGATGAAAGTTCTTATAAGGTTTGCGAGCAGATGACGACGAAGCTCATCACCGCGAGGCTGAATGGATGCTTGATGCAGCTTTCTTGCTAAGTGTCATGAAAACAGCGCACAAAGATGCACTCAAAGGCCTACAGAAAGACTTTGTGGCCATTCCGCGTCTTCTCACGACCATACTTGTGTCTCTAACCATCGATTACACGGAGAAAACTGCTGCATGTTGCATCAGAGTTATGGGCTTACTGTCTATATAATATGCTAACCAATACAATATTGGAAAACTTTTATTAAGCTTCGTTGCGGAAAATTATAAACAAGGGCTTTTACAAATAGCATTCACGAATCAATCTACTATGATTTATCACTCACTATTTTATTAAAGAACCTAATAGTACATTTTATACCTCCTAATTTTGAATAGAATTAGTGTAGTTCACGTGAGTGACAAGAAAGTTATCGGGCATTTTTTCAGTGAGTCCGAGTAATAGTACTGTTAACAAAACTAGTAACAGTAACTAAACTAAAGAAACAATAACAGTAAAAATGGTTAATTACATAGCATTCTTTGTTCTGACACACGTGACGGCAAGTGGCGTGAGAGACGCTGATAACATAAAGCATTTGCGTGACTTGTCATTATGGCTCCGCGTGGCCCTTAAAATAACTTTCGCTGCAAATTGCTCATAGCACATCTTTCTCCTCTTAACTACCTACTTCTCCCCCTTCTTTATCTTGAATTAGGACTGCCGTTCGCTGAACATCTCTTCCCAAGGTATAGTTAGTTATTGGCAAAGACAGCACTCAATGTCGTTCCAAAGCCTTATGTGTGGTTAGTAAAAAGCTGCCACATATATAATGTAGCTGCCACCAACAAATTGCGTTTGATTTTTTTGTCTTTAAGTGAATAGAATTAGATGCGCAATGAATAGAAAGATTACCTTTAGATTATTCTACTGAACTATTTTTGTAAATACTCCTCCTTCAGAGACAAGTCAACATCATTAAATTTGAACTGTAGACGATTGATGGCTGACGCGTTCATTGTATTGTTGGTGCCATTTAATCTGACCGAAATTCACAAACTTCATGAAAAGGAGAACGGAAACCATTCAAGATATGGCATTCTGACGAAGCCAAAATCTTCTATAATATGGCGTTCACTCGAACTCGAGCTTTCACTCGACAGCGGCGCTTTCTCGAGACTAAATAGCTAAATAGCAGCTCATAAATATAAATTATTCTATAGAGAAGACAGAAAAACACTTCGCAATAATTCCAGCTAAAAATTTCGTGTCGAATATTATGAGTCGAAGTGCACTTGTCACCGCGCGCTTAGCAAAGCCACGACACCGCTCTTTGGATCTCGGAATCCCAAAGATTATGAAAATTAAATTAAATCATTACTGAGTTACGGTGACCACTTGAATGCGTTTTTGGAGCGTTCTGGCGAGAACAGGTCGCTCTCATTAGCGCCATTTCGACACCGCTGCCCAAAAGATCGTTCTACCACGCCGCCGGGATCCCCTGTACACAACCAACGACGTCTTCTTGGATTTCTGTAAGATTATTTTTGCAAATTTGTATTTATTTTACAAATTTGTATTTTTTTTTACAAATTTGTATTTATTTCACATATTTGTATTTTTTTCACAAATTTGTATTTATTTCACAAATTTGTATTTATACAAATTTGCATTTTTTACAAATTTATAATTTTTACAAATTTGTATTTCTTTTACAATTTTTATTTTTTACAAATTATTATTATTTTTTTACAAATTTGAATTTATTTTGTGATATATTAGTTAGATTGATTTTGAAAAATTAATATATTTTATGTTCTTGCTGAAACAAATTTTCATAACAAATGAGTGGATAGAGTAGATTTCTAGAGCCGAAGCGCATAATTTATAAAACTCCTAAAAAATTGCATGAAAAATGGCGATCAAACTAAAATCATTCTTCAATTGTGAACATATAAGTCTACATTTGTATGGTCATACACATATCGAACGAAAAACTAAGTATTGTTTTCCAACTCCAAAAGTATCATTCACTCAAATTCATGTTCAGTAGGTAGAGTTTTGAAATGCATACATTGAAATGAAAGTATTTCTCTGAAATGAACTCTTGCTGAAGTAATATAGAAGAACTAATGCAACATGATCTTTCTAACAACGGGAAGTAGGAAAAAACATTTTGAATATCACCAAAAAAAAACAATTATTTGTTGTTCCTTTTTTTCAATATTGTAAATGACTTACTCAACAACAAAGTTTTATAAATGCGCACCAATTAACGAAAAAAAAGAAAATAATTTAACAAATAAAATTACGTATACAATTCATAAAACAACGATTTGTTATCACTCAAATGGAAGCTAATCTCTTGGGACCTCGTCTTAAAAAATTCTCTAATACTTATAATTTTCAAAATCAACGTTTATTAATGGAAAGAAAATAAGAAGACCTTGGCTGGAAGCATTAGAGGTCGTTATGCAGGCAACTGTGCTCATGAGAACGCAAGTTCTCAAATAAGAGGTCTCGAGAGATCTCAAGTAACCTTTCATTTACGGCGCTCATTAAAATGCAATCAATTACATTTTGGGCTCTCACTGTCTCGCTATGGCTCTTGAGGACGACCTCACCCGCCCCTCTCTCCCCTCACATGGCCCTCATCACCCGCCCACCTTGCCCTCACATGGCCCTCATCACCCGCCCATCTCTCCCTCACATGGCCCTCATCACCCGCCCACCTCTCCCCTCACATGGCCCTCATCACCCGCCCACCTCGCCCCTCACATGGCCCTCATCATCCGCCCATCCCACCTCGCCCCTCACATGGCCCTCATCACCCGCCCAGCTCGACCCTCACATGGCCCTCATCACCCGCCCAGCTCGACCCTCACATGGCCCTCATCACCCGCCCAGCTCGACCCTCACATGGCCCTCATCACCCACCCACCTTGACCCTCACATGGCCCTCATCACCCGCCCACCTCTACCCTCACATGGCCCTCATCACCCGCCCACCTCGCCCCTCACATGTCCCTCATCACCCGCCCACCTCTCCCCTCACATGGCCCTCATCACCCGCGCCCACCTCGCCCCTCACATGGCCCTCATCACCCGCCCACCTCGCCCCTTGTTTCGCCCTCACTGAATGCTGCCCTTCTCTTCCCTCTTCCATCTCGTCCTCAGCTGTCCCATATTCCCGTGGTAATTTTTCTACCTACCGATTTTTTTTAAATCTTGGGTCTCTATGTCTATCCATTCCTGACAAGTACGTGCCCACCCGTCATACGGTCGACCTGACTACCATTACTTCACCGAGGGTGTTCCTTAGATACCATCAACCAGTCGAGCATATTCCTACTTCTACCATCAGTCCAACGATCATATTTTCTCAGCCACCATCACTCCACCGAAAGTATTTTTCTCCTATATTTTCTTTAATGGAGCAATCAAAGTAAGACTCATCATCACTCGGTTCCCATACACTCACACCTTTCACACGCACCTCTTAATTTTCATAAAACTAATTGTTGCGAATTAAATTCGAGAATATTTCAAAGAGCCAAAATGTATCCAGCTTGCATTTTACAAACAAAAACTGCAGCTTCTTCTGTTTTCTCATAATTTGAAAAATTGTAGTTATTAGGAAGATTAAATACTAAATGTAGACTATAAATTTTCATTTAGAATTTAATTTTAAAATGGTAATTATATTTGGGTTGTAATTGCATGTATTATCATTAAAACGGCTCCTTCAGATAGGGGATGTGAAAGTCATGGCATTGAAACCACTTGAAGAAAAGTACGAACACGCAAGTCGCTATAACTTTTATCTTCCTGCCATGAATTGGAACTTCTAGCCACCGTCATTTTTTCCGCTAACATTTTCGTTCGTCTTATTTCCAATTTTACATCTATTCACTCCATAATTCCCTCTCGCATCGCACTTATTTCCACCGCTTTAACCGTTCATACTCCTTATTCGCATCATCCCAACACGTTTTCTAGGATTTTTTCCTCACTCCCCGTAAACCCCATCTCGACAATCCCACCCGAGCCTCTCCTTCCTAAGATCCCTCTCGTTAAGTCCCCCACCAAACTCCTCGTGTGGCCACCCATTAAAATGTGAAATATTTTAATTAAGGTGCCAGGTCTTCTCAGTCGCTGAGCCTTTTATCTTCGCCTCTTTATTTAGGCCCTTCTAGGCTGAGTATTGAAGACTGGCCTACAAATAAGGCTGTTGCCATTCAATTACTCAAATCATTTCATTTATTCTAAATTATTCGCAAACAAAAAAATCGTCATTTCTATAAACTAGCCCATTTTTAGGACTAAGGTTTAAAGAGAATCAGTGTACAGTTATTTCGTGGAAAATAAATTGATGCATTTTTTATTGAATGAAATATTTATGCTGAGTAATGAAATATATGAACAAATTTTAAAAAGGGATTTGATTTCTTTGCATTTCCAGGGAAAATGTTCGTATCTTCAAACTCATTATTTTTTTCACAATTATTTGTAAGCAAATAGTTTCATGACCGAAAGTATTCATGACCGAAATATATTTTTACTCCTGAGATAAGATTTCTTCCTAATTTGATTTAATTTTTGCAAAATATTTCTACTGCCTCCATCTGCATCTGATCGCTTTTGAGTTAAGCTTCAAGGACATGAAGGATAATAAATTTTGGCAGGACTCAACTCGTACTTGAAACTTAGATGAAAGAATTGCATGTAGATAGTTTTATTTTGCATTTTCATTTGAGCGTTGGGTTCAAAATTTGTGCACAGATAAGTCACTCGATCATTACAGTGACGATGAATTGTTTGTCATCTGCCGTCATCCATAGAATTTTAAGTATAAATAAATGACTAATACGACCAATATCTTGAGAAAGGGTTAAATTTGAGTCTGTGAACTAGTTTGACTTTGGTCGGCACCATAGCATTTGAAAGGCATCTTTTAATTTGCTCGGCGTTACTCCACTGCAATACAAGCAACTTCGCCGACAACTTTAAATTAACTTCTGCTCGTTTCGTAAAGTCTAATTAGGTGTCCGCATAAAATCAAAGCTAATATTTCGGATCAAAATAATGATATCCGGTTCAATTAAGTTTGGAGTAATAATGGGCCCTAACGCGGCAACTTATTAAACTTTTCAACGCGGAGCAAGGGGCCAAGTTGGAGCAAAGACCAGGGCGACCGAGTGCTGGATCGTGGCGACTGCATCAATGGTATAATACTATTCAGATTTTCAAGAAATTTTCCCGATAGTACATTCAAACATTTACTTACAAATTGACTGCAGTATCGGGCTATTGGGAGCTTATACCTCATCATTCTAATGACTGTTTTGAAGGTATATTACATGATTTTATAACACGAGGGAGACTAAGGAGGCGTTTCATAAACTGATACAGGAAAAATAGATTACTGAGGGCAATTGTTTGAAAATTAATACCATTCACAGATGGTTGTTATTTTGATGTGAAAAATATTTCGGTCGTACGTCAAGTGACTCACAAATGCGCCATACAATAGGGCATTAAGTTTCTAATTTGAAGTGAAAATACTAGACATGCATTGAAAATGGAAAGTAAAACGGAGGTATTAAAATGATCAATTTTAACAGGATTGGGATGATAGCTAATCAATCATTCAGCAGGTGCCTAACCTGCTTCACGAACAAGTGAAACTTGTGAAAATGTGAAAGCTAAAAATACGAGTATTGAGCACTGAAACCATGACGCTGTTTTGTGATCTTAGGTGTTATAATTAATTCCAAAATTTAGGAAATCATTTTTTGGATGAATAATTTTATTTAGGAAATGAATACGTATCATTTTTAGATAATATTATACGTACACGAATAGCAATTTCAAGATGTAACAAGCTACATTTCAGTAATGTTGCAATAACTAATTTTTATTATTTAATATCATTTTAGTTTATTCTATATCAGTTACCAAATATTATACTTTATGTATCTTTACGTTTCCAAACCTTATAACCTGCAGTTTATTAGTGTCTCTTATTTTACTTTAATCACAAGCAGACTCATTAAATTTAGTACAATCGGCTTGACACGACATAAAGGATAATCTCTATTGGGATTTAGATCTGCGACCTTATAAGCGTCGATTTTTTTGACCTAAAGTTGTTTTCCCTCTGAAGATTGGGTTTGTTTGTTTTTATGTTCGGTTATTAATCGTATGCAATGTACCTTATAAGCGGAATTGACTGCATTCTCCCCAAGTTATATTTTTAGTTTTGGTTTAATTACTGGAAAAATGTCATCACTCTTATTTATTTGCACCGTTTCTTTTACAGCGAGTAAACGAGCGAGGTCTGACGACGAAGTGGGAGCCACAGACGAAGGCGTGACGAAGTCTTCCCCTACTGACCACCAAGCAGTTCAGTCGTCACGCGCTTGCCACTCGCCCCTGGTATCTCCTTCGTCGATTCCTTCCCATGCCCAAGAATCGTCAGACGCTCAGTCCTTGGCCATGCTTCCTGCACTTTCATCTTCAGGCTCTCCTCTGCCCCCACCACCTCCTTTAAATTCCACTTCCCCTCATACAAACCTTGCCTCACCTCCATCAGCAGCCACCCCTCCTTCTCATCCGTGTAGCTCTTCGTCGTCTCTCGAGGCTCATTCCTCCATCAGGGACCTCACTAATAGCACCAGGAAAGATCCTCCCAGAGATCATCGGACGTTTGAGACCGTTGACTCTTCAGCTGGAAGCTTCCAGGTAAAGGTTGACCGTTCAAGTCCCAATATTGCGGACAGTTCGCAAAATCAATCATCGAATGCGTTGGACACACTCATGAGACTTTTCCCAGGGCGACGAGTTCCAGTTTTGGAAGCCGTGCTGCTTCACAGCGGAGGAGACGTTCTACGAGCCATCCAAACTCTGCTGTACTCCTCCGGCACCACAGAATCTTCAGATACTGGCTACAAGAACGGAAATGAAACAGCAGCTGATAATTTAAATATTAACAGCCGACTTAACCAACGGGTAGTGGCCGATAGTCGCAATGTGACTCGTTCTTCACCTTCGCATCTGCCGCCACCACCGCCGACCATCCAGCGGTCTCCTGAACCTCACCGGCCCTACGACTTCTTCCAGGACCCAAACAACATGCTCAGGTCGCCTGCCTTTAGCCCGCTCTCCACCAGCAGCCTCGGTCGCTTCCCGTACTCACATCACGCGTTCTTGGGACTTCCATACTCTCCTTTCCTGCATCCAAGGCCTGAATATTATCCGCCTTTGAATCTATCCGCACACCAGCCCATTCCTCCACCCTTGTCCCCCACCTCGGTACATTCATCGTATCCACTCTTGCATCACACTTCTACCTCTCCTCTGCCCAACGACCAGTCGCTCTCACCCTCGTCCACTCACGAGCAGGACTCCGATTGAAATTTTCAAGGATGGTTTAAAAGACCTTGATTAATAATATAGCAAACTCTACAACCGATTAAGATACATTGAGAGGATTTAGTAAAGAGTTTGCGCTCATGAGGCTTCTCTGATTCAATTTGTATACCTTGATTAGGTAGCCTCAATAAAGTATGTTCTTTCATACAATTCTGTACAAAAAGATACATGAATTAGATTCAGCAATTACTCTCTGGCAACTTTTAGTCTTTAATGGTGTAAATAATGAAGATCAGGAAAATAATGAACCAAATCTTGATTTGTTTACCAAGCAGCTATTTAGCGTACTTAATTTAGATTTACATACAATCAATGGATTTAGCCAAAACTGTAAGATTGTTAATTCTTACTTTAACTAAGGTTCATTCATGTACTCTGTAAATAACATATATATATATTGACTTTCACAACTATAACAATAATCTGATTGTTTAAAATAAAGATCAATGTTTTCCAAGTGAACTCGTCTGCAACGACTCCAATGTACTAGCGGAAACAATTGTAGACAAATTTGTAAACATCGTCAAACAATTTCTTTTACCCTGAACAATGATCAAATGTTTAGCTTATAATCTGGATTTTGCTTATTCATCATCATAATATCATGAACCACGACCAACATTCGATCAAAGTCATGTAAAAATGGACAACACAACACAAGTTCAATAAAGTTAGCCGGTTAGGATCGACATTGCTTACTTTATTGTTGATTATGTTTGATGCAATGCTTTAATTAACACACTGCATTTTTTTATATAGATTCTATCCAATGCTATGCTTTTTGCCTATTATTGTAATTAATCTCTTGAATTTTCTGCTTGACGAACTTGTGGGGAATGTTAAATAAAATATAAATCTTAAATATGAATATTAGTTGTTCATTTATATATACTTGAGGGAAAATTCGAAAAAAATTTATAGTATAATCTATTCAATGGAAGAAACATTACACTGATTTCATTGAGACTTAAGATAAGTGATGAGCATTAAACTAAAGTTTAAACAACATAAAGAATAATAAGGAGTTTTAATAGTGCAACAGGCGTTGCGAGTGATGACCACGTCGATAAGAAGGTTCTGATAATGCAATTGTCCTTATAAGTTTGCAGATTAGAAATATTATTAGTAAACTTAAATAAATTGAGTAGAGCAAGTTGCTACGGTTACCTTCAGTTAGGAATATTTTTACGATCGTACATTTATCAGTTGTATATTTATGACACTAAGCGTCAAGTTTCATGAGTTAATACTGTTGTCTGAAACTAAAGGCGAAATATTTTTCCAAATGCACAATTTGAATTAACTACATCAGATATCTTTAACGAATGATATCTGTAACGGGGTCTTCAATTTTCACGCGAAACTAAATTGAAAAATTCTGTACCAAAATAAAACAAAATCAAATTACAAAATGAACATATTCTACAAATTGTGTGCAATAAAGATATTAAGGTCAATTAACTATTCTTGCGAACTATATTTCTGGACATTGGATATTAGTACAAGCCTTCCCCACTGGACAACTTGATTTTTGTAAAATCTTCGAAAGGCAGCTGAATTTTTTCCGTCGTAATTGGAAGCAAATGTCAAATACTCAATGCTAGATCTAACACACATGCTTGCACATATATAGATGCAATGTTCATTGTTTTACAACCCAAGTTTTGTTTATTTAAATTTATGTGAAGCCAATGACTTTTAAATTTTTAATTAAATGTTTCAATATTTTGTATTATTTCGATGTTGATGGATTTTGATAACTTCGAAGAAAAATTTCAAAAGAAGACACGTCATTTCAGGAATTTGAAAAAAAAATTATTTTTGAGATTTGTGAAGCTGACCGATTTCCTTCGAATATTATAATTACAGTAAGAATAAGGGTATAAACGCGTAATTTTGAATTATTTGAGACGACAGAACAAATAAAAAGACCGTAGATTTTCCAGTATTTGAAATAAATAATGAGTATATGCAGGGAAAGTGATGTATCTCTGCATTTAGTATAACAAAACCTTAATTTAAAAGTCTGATGGGCAAAAAATAATAACAGTAAACCGAACATGAAGATATCTAACATTTTAATTGAACTATTACCGGTCAAATTTACGAATGATGGGCAAAAATTTATTGATTAGTAGATACATCGCGTGCTTGAATGCAATGTGGCATTTCAACTTGGCATTTTCCTTCTAATTTTGTATTCCTGCATAAATAAAAATTTAAGTAGTATTATTATAGTCATATTCCAGATTATTAGTGTTTTCCTGAACGTTGAACAAGCAGGCAGTGGAGGCAAAGATAAGGAGTAAATTTGGGAATTCAAATTTTCAGGATAATAATGAACAATGTATCATTAATAGGGAATACCAATCTCATCTGAATTAGAACCAAAGTTTGACGGACAAAAATGAAAATTAATTAAAAATTTTATTTGAGGTTAATTGAGACTTGTTCGATTTTAAATAATCGATTTTAGATGATGATTATAAATTATTGATTATAATTCTGAAGAACACAATTTTTCATGGCTATTAAAGTAGAATGAATAATCTTGACTTCAGGAAAATAAGTGTAAGTAGTGTTGATATAATCCTACGATATTTTGATCAAAGTATTTGAATGTATGGTCAGCAAATTAGAGTGTAATTTAAATGATAAAATAGCTAAAATCTTAGAATGGCATTTCATAGTTGGCTTAATCGAGACTGTTGTCATTGGTGTTATTTGTGCCAATAGATTATTATTATTCTGCAACTTAGAGATAAGGCAGTGGAAATTTTGTGATTAAAGCTTCTATATATACTGAATAGTCGCATTTGTTTCATTTAATCCTAAGTAAACAAAATATTCTTTAATCCATTTTACTCGAAAATAATCTCGAAGCTTATCGTGTCTAATAAATTAAATTTGTATAGTTATTATGTCGCTAAGTATATATGAGGAATGAAGTTCATGAGCTTGATATGAAATTGAAATTTGGGAATGACTGTACATAATGTCTTTATTGCCCTCAATTAAATAAATAATGAAATATCTGTGGCCCACAACCAAATTCTCAGGTGTTTTTGTTTTACTTTTATTCAGTTAAGAGTTTTTACTTTAATGGTTGACCATTCGCTAAATAAATTTACATGGTGATTTTTGTTCCAAATTTGCCTCGTTAATATTCGACATTTTTTCCAGTAATCATTATTTCCTCAGACCCGTGTAAATTTGACGCGTCATAATCCTGATAAAATTACCTGCGCTTCGAGAAAGTTCACACAGGGTGAAACATGAATTTGTATATACTGTGCATCTAACGAACTGCATAAAAATGAAGATACACTAAAAATATGGATGATAAATTTTTTAACTACAAAAATACTAAAAATAAGGCATCTATTAAATGAAAATGATTTAATTTGGCGGTAGCTTATTAGGAAGACCACTTAGGAATTAATTATTTAGTCATATTACATATTTTTTATTCATTTTATTAAGTCATGACGTTAAAGGTGTTTTCACAATATGTTATGAGACATGAATGAATTTATTTAATGAGAACCAAAATCTCAAAAATTTCCAAAGAACAGAGAACTCGCTACGCTAACATATTGTGAACGCACCGACAAATGTTAAACGGAGACCGCCACGCAGGAAGTTAGGACGCTCACCAGTCTGGATATCTCGCATGTATTGGGTAACGGAACTCAATTTGTGTAGACTATTGTGGTGACTCGGGAGAAGCCTGTATTAGAGAGCCTGTATTAGATTCCTTTGGTACTGAGATTGCCTCCGAGTATCGCGATCCCGTTCTAGTTATAGCTGTGGCCGGGCAATGGTAAGTTGGAATGAATGTGAATTCTTGAATCATTGAGAAAAAAATTTGAGTGTACATTGTACTTTTTGAGCTTTTTAATTTAAATTCATTTCTAAGCAGAAGGAGCTCTTCTTGAATGACATGATTTTTTATTTTGACAAAATACTGTAAATAATAAATTGCCGTAACTCAATATTTGTTAAATTTGCTTCGCTCATCCAATAAAATCTATTACAATCAGAAGTAATAGTGCAATTATGTCTCAATTTAAATTTTTGTTTCTGGTCAAAAGTAGTGTTAGATTAAACTGCGGCCGTTCATGCGAAAACAAAGAGTTAATATATACCTTTCGAATGATAAAATGCAACCAAAAGATACTCTACAGCAGATATACACGAATAAAATGCTTCTGATAGAATAATCAAATGAATTCAACAGCGACTGTTGATATAATCAGCATCAATTACCAGTGACGGGATTGGTTGATATCACAAATCACAAGGAATTGTTTAAAGCTCAAGCTTGAATGCACGGCGTGTGTTTGTTGAAATAGTTATTGCGCTAATATAAATGGGCATAATTACTAGACAGCAATTACACGGGGGCTCCAGCAACCATCACTTTGGCGCTCTTAGTTCGTTGACGACAACAACAATTATCCGCTGGCACAATCGTTATCAAAGAATCTTGTGAACAGCAGCCACAATAGAAGTTCCCGTTGTTAACACAGCTCGAGTTACACGCGCTTCTGTCTGTGTCTGTTCTCTTTAAAAAAATCTGCTCGCAAAAATACGGCGTTTCCTTTGCTTTGCTTGAACACAGCTGCAGCTGGCGCGCAACTCGCTTCTCTCGTCTTCAGCTCGATGCAAATGTTTGATTGGGTCCGGGGACGAAGTAATTTGACTGTGTCTGACTAAGTAAATTTTATTTGCTCAGTCTACAGACAAAACAAAAATTAGAATATAAACGAACGTTAGTTGAATTTTAGGCACATGAAGTATTATATTTGTGACTGATTTAAATTGGTCATGTTCATGAATTTAATTCGAAGTTTTTTGGGCATTTATTGTTGAGAGCAATTGACAATTTAAATATTGATTGCAAAATTGGTCAATTTATAGAATTTATGCCTAGGAGCAAAATTTGGAAGTAATTTTGTACGAGTCATCGGAACATAATC